GGTGCCATTTCCATTAGAAAAATAAGAAGAAATTTTGTCTCACCAAGCTTATACTTATTACATTGTATAATCTCCTATTATCGATTAAATTTTTCTTGGATCCTATTAAATCCACTGCTTTCAAAACTTCATTTCTTTGCACCAATAGTATTCCTTTAAAGAGGAGATATTTTTCTAATTTTTTCATATTTTATTTCGACATCTAACTCTTTAAATTAAAATTTTTCACGAAACCGGCCTTCTACTAATAGAAATTAAGCTTTAAATATTTTTAAAGATACTCTCTGCATTTTCAAAGGCCATAACTAATTTTAAAATTCATAATAATTTCTCAAATAATTTTTTTAAATTTTTCATGAATTATTGAGGCCCCTAAGTATATCAAATAATTTGTGGATAAAAAAAAGTATATCAAATAATTTAATTTGACCAATTATCCTTTAATTAGTCAAAATTCTAAGAAGAGATTGAAATTTTCAAAATAAATTGTTTTTATTCTATTTTCATCTTTTATCTTTCAAGTCTCAAATACTGTTTTATACCCTTTATTCTATTTTTCATGATTTTCCAAAAATGTTCGGGAATTTCATGTGTACCTTTCCACTCTAATTAATATTGACTGGATATTTTGAAAAAAGCAGTCCCATCCTTGATCTGATCTTAGTTCAAAAGTTACTTCGCCTATGTCGTGCTACACTTCTTAGTCCTTGGCCAAACCTAATTCCCTCATTTCCCTATTTAAAATCAACAGGGTGTGCCATTAGGTATCTCAAGAACATGTATTACATTAGATTCAAAACATACCTTAACCACATCAAATAATTTATATCATACCATAAAGTATTCTCAAGTAATCAAGGCAAAAACAAATCATTCCAGAAACTCATGTTGACATACAAAACGCAGTCAAATAAAACATTAGCTTGGATACTACACATTAAGCCACAATTCCGTAATTTCATCCAAAATCATTAATCAGGCTTCTATCCAATCCTATAGTTCTAGTAATTGATTTTTTTTTTCCCCACAAACCACTCCTACAAGGCATATTTTAAATTTCTAGAAAGTTTTTTTCATAATTTCAAAATAGTTTTTCTATTCCATATTATTCAAGATCTATCATAACAAGTTCAATTTAATTAGAAACTCCTCATAAAAAAATAGTAGGAGAAACAAATAAAAATTCATGTTACCTAGTATCTAACAAGTACTTATGAGTGAAAAATTAAGACCCCAAACTTGGGATCATCAAACCAAATTTCAGATCTACAAACGGAGAATATATGTTATTATAGTATCTTGTGGGTAAGCTATATGTTAAATTTCAACCCATAACTCTCTCTATGGTTTCTGAATTGGTACTCAGAATTCTAGCTCATACAATTTTTCTACGGTTTGGAGTAAGAATAGGGATATTATGATTTAGATTTAATTCCTATGTCTCTTTAGCTTATATTATCTTTCAATCAATAGATTATATCATTAGAACCATCAACTACAATTGATTAATAACCTAGGTAGAAAACCCCAAATTTATAGCCTATGCTCCATTTTCCAAGATATAAGAGAAACTGATTTAATATGAGTTAAATTATTCTCACCACAAAATTTTAATTATTAATCTAACTGTTGAAATTAATGTATTAGATGTCTTGAGTCTATTCTCTAAATTTTGGCTCAATCTAACGATGAACAAATTTAAAAACAATAACTGCCTACTTAGGGTTCTATCTACAAAATCTTAAAAAAAAAAAAAAAGAATTCAATGCATATGTAATAAATCTTACCTTAGAGATCTAATTGATAATCAAACTGTTGAAATCGACGAGCTAAATGTTTCGGATTGACAGACCAAATTTTAGCCCGATCTAATAGTTTACTAACTCGTATATAGCACTTTATTGAGACTGTCTTAGTTATGTGCGAAAAGTATTTGACTTGTTCTTAACTCTCCTACTACCACATATATATAGGCTTGTAGAGCACCATTCTCTTATCATTTAGTTGATGTGGAAGCTCTTGAATTTGTTGTCTTATTCATTGATTTATATATATATAGTTATACATATATACACATACATATGATCATAAGTATTTTAATTACGTATATATGTTTAACATCGATTAAAGCGAGTTAATAAATACTTACTTATAAGTTTACTTTAGTCTTGGGGCAAAATAATTAGGATGTTACACCCACCCAACCACGAATCAAAAAACCCAACCAAAGATCAAAGAATTGAAGACAAAAATCGCCGCTCAAAGTGGGTTTTTATTAGCTGGTAATGGTCTCCTGACTCCTGAGTCCATATCGCTCTCTTTGGAATTAGATTTTTTTTTTTTTTATTTAATAGGACCCTTCAATACTTAGAATCTTTATATGGGACTCAAGGGTAATTCTCCCGCAAAAAAAATTGTGCACATGTTAGTCCTTATCCATAAAAATAAATTATTCTGCTATTCTGACAAATAGATATGGAAGATCTCCATATTAGATCTTTAATAATTTAAAGAGTAAAAGTATACTTTTTTATATGGTTTCTAAATAACCTTGAAGTTCATCTCATCTGACAAAAAGCAAATTGTTCCCAGAATGGACAACTCAGATTATTAAAGGTGCACATCTCTAAAATGTGCATATGATCCTTTCACATGTTAAAGGGTAATTTCAAAAAAGAAAAAAAATAGTAACAGGAAAACAAAGGTACGAAACACCACCAAACATTTAAAAATTCACCATAATGCACATTCAATAATGACTCCTACGTCCGTATCGCCCTCTTGAGAATTAAAATAATTTTTCTATTTCATAGGACCCTTCAATAATTAGAATCTTTATATGGGAGTCAAGGGTAATCCTCCCGCAAATAAAATTATGCGCATATTAGTGTTCGTCCTTATCCATAAAAATCAATTATTCTATTATTCTCACAAATAAATGTGGAAGATCTCCGGATTAGATCCTTAATTTAAGTTAAACAGTAAAAATATACTTTTTATATGGTTTTCTAAATAACCTTAGAAGTTTGTCTCATTGGACAAAAAGCAAACTGTCCCCAAATGGACAACTCAGGTTATTAAAGGTACACATCTCTAAAACGTGCATATGATCCTTTCGCATGTTAAAAATTTCAAAATTAAAAAAATAGTAACAAGAAAAGAATAGTACGAAAAGTCACCATAATAATGCACACTCAAGCACCAAAAGTCAGTAAAGAACAACCGACAAAAAACTTTAAAGCCGCACCAAACATCATTCATTAGAAAATGTCGGGGCTTCTTATTTTGGGGGGGCGGGGGGGAGCTCAAATAATATTTATATGATATTATTAAAATATTATATTCGATATTATAGGATTAGATTCGAGTATTATTAAGCCCTTCCTAACATGATTTATTTTATTTAAGAAGTTTAAACCCTTAACCTTACTTAAATAGAATTGAATTCCCATTTCCCTCTGCTTGATCCAATCACAATTGGCATGCAAAATTAAAATAATATCTACTCGCAGTTTTATATACAAACCTTTTTCTGGAACTCTAGTTCTAGCTAGATTAAGACAATAATACTATTAATATTGGCAAAATTTAAACCTGAATATATCCTAATTAAACTGAATAAAATAATATCTAGTTGCACATTTATAAAACCTTATCGCAAATCGCAATATCGTGTTTCACATATTCATTTGCTTTCATCTTCCAAAGTCGAAACGTGACTGCACCACTTGTGAAAAATAATAGAGTAAATTAAAGCATTATACGCAATCCCATGAATCCAGATGCTTAGTGATGTAAAACAGAAGAGGGAAAGAGGAAGGGAAGATATCAGAAAGAGCAAAGAAGGGACAAGGAGACAGAAAAGAAGAAGCAAGCCAAGAGAAAATTAACTAGCTGTTAATTTAATATTCAAAGTTTACCATATAGTGAGAAACCTGGAGTTATTTATACTAAAATAATAAATAAAATTGAAAATAATAACAATAACAACTAGTCCTAATAATAAAATAATAAAATACCAACAAATCTAAATAATTCAAATATCCTAGACATATAATAAAATTAAAATTATCGCATATTTCATCACTTAGTTAATAATATCTCTTTCATCTTAATGAAAAAAAATAATGTGCTATTTATATTCACGAAAGCTAAAAGGTTCCCCTTTTATTTCTAAAAGTAAACTAGAGTTCAATTACAACCCTTTTAATTATGTGACACGTTAATTAATGATTATGGTGAAGTCAGATTTTTGAAACCAAAGGTGTCCAAATGAAAAAGGAATGTAATAACCAAAAGGAGAAAGAAAATGAAAGTGAAAGAGGAAAGCAAGAAATGGAGTCCCAGATTCATACAATTAATCAGTAATATCTCTTTCATACTAATAAGGGTAAAACAGAACTTAGAAATTAGAATACAGAAAGATTGCCTAACATATAACAACGTTCTTACGTTAATAAATTGGTTTAAATGTATAGCCTTATGGATCTTTGTTTGTTTTCTGTTTTTGCCAATCCCTGTGAATCTGGATTAAGTCTTTTTATCTTTGAAGACATAAGAAAAATTAGTCATATAGAAAATGATTTTTTTTCATTTCTAATTTCATTTCATTTAATGTACTGAATGATTTCAAAACTATCAAATACCTTTAAAAAATCAGCCTATGGCAGCAATGATATCATTTTGTTATCAATATTATTTAATAGAAAATGTAAAATGTATCCTAGTAATATACAAATAACCCAGCTACTCTTTTACCAAAATTTATTGAATAGTATACATTAATTTAATCTGAATCAAACAAACTAAAGGTGCCATACCCACGTGATACTCGAAAATAAATTATTAATTTAAGCAAATGATAAAGCAAAACAAATAAATTATTCTTCATTACAGCGAAGTCACTTATTGAAGCCATGTGCAAATTCTCTATAAATTTGAGCGCAATATTACCCAGTTCAACCCAGCATTAGAACACTTTGATCCAAATCAAGAGCAACATGAAGCCTGCCTTTGCAAAAATAACTCTCTTCTTCTTCCTCTTCGCCTTCTCCACAAAATCATCGCCGGTCGCGGCATCCACACCGGAACCAGTGGTTGATATCTCCGGCGAAAAGCTTAAAGCTGGTGTGAGCTATTACGTCTTGCCGTTCGTCAGAGGAAGAGGCGGCGGTCTTTCTTACGATACCTTTGGAAAAGACACATGCCCCCATGTCCTCGTGCAAGAAAAGCTTGAAGTCTCCAGCGGCAAGCCAGTACAGTTCTTGCCTTTAAACCCTAAGAACCATGTCATTTACACCTCCAGAAATCTCAACATCAAGTTCAGTAACTTGATTTCAACTTGTGTTGAGTCTGGGGTTTGGAAAATAACCAAGTTTATAAGCGAGGCATTGAATGTGGCTACTGATGGCGCTGCAGCGAACCAAGATTTTTTCAACTGGTTCATGATTGAGAAAACAGAAAACAACGGTGTTTATATTCTCAAGTTCTGCCCTAAGCCATCGTCTGTGGTATGCCAGGATCTTGCAGTATTTTCTAATGGAGATGATGGGAAAAGGTATGTCGGTCTTACCAATCCTGGTGAGTTTCAGCAACTTCTTGTTATGTTCAAGAAGGCTGATGTTAAAGATGCCATTATTGATGGTGAAGAAGATGTAATGAGCAGCTAGATGTGATAAGTTGCATCAAACTTCAGAGCTAAGTTTATCTTATGTTATGAAGCTTGAGAATAAGAGCTATCATGTTGTAATAAGAAGCATATTTTCAACTGGTTTATGATCGATGCCTTTTCTTTCGTCTTTCAATACAAGCAAACATTTGAGCTCGTTGGTGCTATTATTATAAGGTGGTGTTTGCAAAACACCAGAATCAATTAAAAAATATTTTCACACAAATTGAAACAAAACTCCTCTAACATGTATGCTTGCCTCAAATGCTGTAAAATCACTTCTGAAAAGCTGATACAATCACCCCCTGAATTAATAAATGGTCCAAACACACGATGAGTCACTCTTTTTTCTTTTATTCAATATTTTATTGAAAGGAAGAAATGCCTGCACCTATCATACATATTCATATGAGGGATTAAACTCGTAACCTTATATTTTAAAAAGACTTAAATGAGATGCCTAGTGTTATTGGGTGAGAAGATCCCAACCTCTTTGAACAATGTTTAAATTACTACATTCCAATAATGCAACTATATGTAAATGGATTCTTTCAATTTTCAAATGCGCAAAATTCCTATTTTGATGTATTTCATTAGTAAATTTATATAAGTAACTTGTGAATGAATAAGCTATAAGCGACAGTATCAATCCAGATCAAAAAGCCATTGTAAATATACTTATAATATATACTTTAAAAATATGTACTTGTCTATCTTTTCATGCTAAGGATATACCTTATTTTACTATACATATTTCAAACATAATTGACTATTTGTTTGGATTTAATTAATTAGAATTCTAGAATATATAAATATATATATATATATATATATATATATAAACAAGTGGTCTTTGGAGATTCCCAACTCACTTATAGCATACTCCATTCTTACTAACTTTTTAAAATTTAGAAATGAATGCATTAAGTTTTCTGTATGTTAAGAATAGCTAAAGTATATATTTAGTTTTTTAATTTTATATAATATTTTAATTTAGTTTTGTAACTTTAAAAAAATATATTTTTAGTCTTTCAAACCTAAAAGTGTTAGGCTTAAATGATGATTTATTATAGTAATCATGGTTGTTTTATTAATTCAACTTAATATATTAAACATTTGAAAATGTTTTGTCACTATTTAAAATCTCAATGTTATTATTTTTTGTCAACAATTTTAGGTTAAAGGACTAGAAGATACTTTTTGAAGCTAAGAAACCAATTAAAACATTGTATATAGTTAAAAAAACTAAATGTATATTTTAGCCTAAAAAAATAATTTATATTGGGGAAATTAATCTTTTAAACTCCACGTAATTCAATTCCTAAATTTTTGACCCGCTTATAACTTAGTGCCTTTGAAATTTTTAAAGAATTCTTTTGTCTATAGATTATAAACCTCTTATAGGGTAATTAATATCATTCTTCCTTAAAGTACGTAGCTCCAAATCAAAAGATAAACACTTATGACAAATCCGACAAATTCAGTCAAGAGAAAGCAATAAAAATTATAAAAGCAACAGTACACCAATCAATGAATAAGAACATTAAAAAATGAAAAAAGGTTACCAAAACTTATCCAATAAACAATAGTCTACTTGCAGTTTTATATAATTTTGATCATGATCCACATCTAAATCTAAATTTAGATAATAATGCAATACAATATTAGCAAAATGTAAAAGTGAATATATTACACATGCGCGCGCGCACGAAACCTAATCAAATATAATACTTCAACGCAATATCATGACTCACATATCATTTGTTTTAATCCTGCCAAACATGTTCCAGTATATCTGTCGCCAAAAATATCGTCTTGCATGCCAAAAATAAAGGAAAGCAACTCATTTAACATCAAATATGCGTATAATTAATATCTCATTCACCTTAATGAAAAATTGATGTCCGTTTTGGTATTATTCCAGGAAAAGATTCCTTCTTCTTGTCACCCCCCCCCCAAAAAAACTATCAATACACACACATGGTATCTACCATGTCCCTTTGTTATTATAATTATTTTCTCATTAATCTTAAAATCAGCAACACCCCTTTCATCATAATTAAAAAAAAATGCCCTGCATTCATAGCAAAGGTAGAAGAGAAAATGACATATAAGGATATATATATATATGCATAAGACAGACAAAGATTATGAAATTGCCTAATTCCTCTGAAGTTTCGAGGGCCGTTTTATACATAACTTTTGTTGGCAAATGACTATATACATTGTCTCATGTCACAATATAAGACACTTGGAGAATGGTTAATACTTACTCCTCTAGTCTTATTTATAGCGCAAAGAGAATGCATTTTTTGGTCCTATTTATAGGGCACTACGGAAAATTTTTTTTGTATGGATATATAATTTTACCCCTAATTTATTATTGTGTTAACTTTGTTTGCATGGGGTGTAATGTATATTAAATAGGGGTAAAGTTGGAAAGTTATTAAATTTTAAATAAAAGTTAATGAAATTTAAGGTTTTTTTTTATCTTTGCAAAACAAACTAGAAATGACTTATAAATAAGATCATAGGAGTATTTATCAATTTTGTTATTGCAATTATTGCTTAAATGTGACTTCTATTTTTCTCTCTATTTCACAACCTCATTTAATATGAGTAAAATTGAAAAAAATTCAATTTGACATATATTTAATGAATTACTCCTCTGATCCTTAATGTAAAATATAATTAACTAATTTGAGTAGATTATTAAGGATGTTAGTTAAATTAGTTAATATAATATGTTTTTTCTAAAACACTCTAAGCATTTAGAGTTCCGTCACTGTAACGTACAAAAAAAAAAAAGAAAATATAATATTTTATTAAAATAATATTTTTATTAATATAATATTTTATTAGAAAAAAAAAAAGATAACCCCCCTTCCACGGAGAGTTGAAAATTTGGGGGGGGGGGTAATTAATGCAAAGGAAAAAGAAGTGGTGAGGGACAGCTGAAGGGAAACAGGATAAGGCGTAGGCAGTGGAAAAAATTGAACATGAGACTATTAAATACCTTCATCCCAGATGATTTTGAAGTCGAGGGAGTAGACGGAAGAGGAAGAGAGCAAAAGAAGAGAGAAGAGAGTGAGAAGCAGAGAGGAAAAGAGAGAGAGAGCCGAGTTGTGGAGTACCTAACAGTTTTGGGGATAATTTAGGTACACAAAACTACTTCTTTCTGTCAAAATTTCTTTATGAATATTTCCTATATATTTATAGCTTTATATTTTTAGTATCATTATAATATTTAGAAAAATTTTACTATTTGAGTATAGAGTAAATATGGAGTTTTGACAATGTATGACCATAGAAATTTAAAGATACATTCTTAAGAAATTTTAATAAGTTTATATTTGTTTATTGATGGTTTTGGAAATTTTAAATTAAGATTTTAGTTGAAAAAGTTGTTATTCAAGACTTATAGAATGTTTTTACCGATTAAATTTAATTTAAATAATTTATTTGAGTTATTTAATATATTATTAAGATTTTAATTGGTTATAATATTGAGTATGTCTAAGATATATTGTTGAAATAATTTTTGGAAGCTTGAAAAATTATAAATTAAGAACTTTGTAAAATTAGATAAAACTACCGTTTGTTTATAATTTAAAAAGAAGTTGTTTGGTTTGAGGAAAAATTTTAAAGGAGACTATAATAAATAATTCAGAATTTTAATATAAAATATTTAGATTTTGGGTAACAAAGATATATTTAAAGTTGTTAAATTTAAATAGCTTTATATGTAAAATTATATTTTTCAAAATAATATTATATCTATTATAAATGCCTAGATTTGGGAGAGTTAATATATTTATGTAATTTTGGTTTAGAGGGTAGTCTTAGAATTTTAGAGTAGTTTTGGAGTAGTTCTAAGTTTATATTAATAAATACTTATGTGCAATTTTGTATACTCTTGAGAATTTTGGAGTAATCTTTGTGTGATTATTTGTAAGCTAAAGAGTACCAGGTAACTTTGAAAATTCTTTCTTGTACATGTGAATTGTGTATGATTATATTGTGGATTTACTAATTTTTATATCATATTGAAAAGTAGTATTATGATTTCAAATAAATGTTTTGATATGTTATTTGATTTTTTAAGATTTATTGCTATTAATTATGATCAATATTTAAATATATTGATGGCTAAGGAATTGTCCTGAGTTGCTATTAAATGGTATATGATTTTTATTGCTATCTTATCTTTAAAATATTTGAGGACGTATTTATGATGTAACATTATTGGCATCTAACATGCATTGTTGGGCTAAGGATAGAAGGAGATTGCATGGATATAAAATTACCACGAGGTATGCCATCACTCGGTGCACAGTGAATGGCAGTTGTCAGGCCCCTTCTTCCATGTTTTCCTTTGGCCGGGAATTCATTGAAGTTGTGGGACATGTGACACCTCCCTATTCACAAAGGAGGGGAGCCATAATCCGAGCTTGAGCTCTATATCTTTGGCTAGATATATCTCTTGTATCGGTGAGTTTGGAATAATTTCGTAAAATGGATTAGTTCCTATCGGACTATGTGTTAGCCTATGGCTCTAGTCAGCGGTATAAGGGTGGACGGTGATATAAGGGAGGTAGCATATTGCATTATTTTTGGATATATTAGAAAAATAAAATTGAATTGAATGTATCAAATCCGTGATTTTTAATATATTTATATACACACATATAAACAGATTTTTGGTTTATCATATATGATTTGCTTAATTCAGTAAAATGGATTAGTTCCTATCGGACTATGTGTTAGCCTATGGCTCCAATCAGCGGTATAAAGGTGGACAGTGATATAAGGGAGGCAGCATATTGTATTATTTTTGGATATATTAGAAAAATAAAATTGAATTGAATGTATTAAATCCGTGATTTTTAATATATTTATATACACACATATAAACAGATTTTTGGTTTATCATATATGATTTGCTTGTATAAGTTAGAATTTCAGTAGTTACTGAGACATTTGATCTCACCCCTATATTAATAATTTTCAGGCGAAGGATCTAATAGGAATCAAGGGAAGGCACCAATGGAGTGAGCCGTGAAGGCTTTTATACTCCTCAACACATGCTATGTTATATTTTTATTTGCCATGGC